AGATAAAATCCATCACCAGCTGCCTCCTTGCTCTCACACTGAATAGGCAGGAGGTTTATTGGCCCCCGAGCCTCTTAAGCACATTCCCCAAATCTGCTGTCCCTCAGTGTGAGAACCAGGAGCCCTGTACCAATAGGACAGACCTTCCTCTTGTGATGAATAATAGGGAGAGAATCAGTGACCTGGCACTCCTCGCCCCAAAAGCCACTTGATTAGGCTAATGCTGAACTTGAGATGTTTGCTATTACAGTTATTTAGACCCAGAGAATGGACATGGTTCACAATACAGTGCCCACCGCTACTCCATACTGCTTTCTTATGGTGAGGAAATTTAGGGTTCTTTTCCCCATAGCAAAAGAGGGACAAAACCACTTTACTTTTATGGATACACAGGAAAACATCCACAGAGGCATTCACCACTGAGTAGCTGACATGTTGAAAGCTCTCATGGCTCACTGGGTCTTCTTTGTGTGTCCATCCTCTTGTAAAATGCCTTACAAGTATTTTACAAGCAAAAGGTGTGAGCAAAAGTTCTCTCTCTTATTAATTTGAACCCACAATGGTTTGATTCCTAATCTGGAATGGCCCCAGTTCCCGGTAATGGGAGTTGATTCATTCATTCTGATCTATTGATAAGATGCAAATTGTAAGAAGGGTGGATGGTAGAGTGTTTGAAAGAACCAAAACATAAAAATGGTGAGTTTATATTCAAAGTGCTTTCATTTTGCAATCTGTCTCTAAGCAAAGATCCCAGCTTGTTAATAGAAGGACACAGTATTATGGATGTGAATCATGTTTCATCTCAGACCGTGTACATACGCCTTATGTAGTTATGCAGATACTTACCCCATACCATGGATTATTAAACCAATGAAGAAAACCACAAAGAGGTGATGGGTGTACCAGAACACCTCATAGGATGACCTTCTGATGAGCTTCGTGGATGAAGTCATGATCAGTATTAGAGCCACAGTAATCACAACTCCAGTTACTCCAGCTATGGTAGTTAGAACCTCTCCTGTTGTGTTCTAGAATAAGAAAAAATATATTATCGTTGCTTTTATTATTGCTATTACATGATGCTGAAATCCAGCTTGTATTTTCAGCATAGAAACAAAGCCAGAGCAAGAAACATCAGCAAGGCAAACATCCTTTTTACCCTAGACATAGCATGGGAAAACATTGCCCTATTCTATTTCCACTTAGGCTTATCCCAGACAGATATGTAAGTGTTTGCCACCATTTGTTTGTTTTGGGAATTGACAGAAGGAAATTACACAATCTCAGTAGTACTTTTATCTATTTTTCATATGTAAAAGTGTCTCAGAAAAAAAAGGAAAATGATTAGGGAAATGAGAAGATTAAACCTAGAGGTGTAAGAGCCAAAATAGCATTACAAACCTGCCTATTCATGTGAGGGTGATAGAAACGAGGTGCTAAGGCACCTGCAACCATAAAAGTGTGAGGCTCTTTCATGCTTATTTACCTCAAAGTGTTTGATTTTCTTACATCCCTGAAATGGTGTATAAAAATGGCATGCTCTCATTTACCTAAATGGCATATCTCACTTACCTGTTCCTTATACTTAACTAGAGATATAATGGACAGCACTTATTTTTATGTTTCAAAGTACCTAGTTATATTTACCTTTTTATGCTTATTAGTGCTGAAACATTAATATTCTGGGCTAGAACATGTTCCTTCTTGTTCATAACTAACAGACCTCTGCACAGGTCTGTTACTTTTGTCTAAACCCACCACAATCAACTGAAGTGAGAGTGAAGACGTATTTTGAACACAGCAGTCAGATGCTGAAATCAGTTATAAAGTGCAAATCAGGAGGAACGGCAATGAAAATCACACACATGAGAAGAGATTCAAGCTAAATATTCTGGCAGATTGTAAATGAAGTCCCCATTTGGCCTGCAAAATACATCTGTGTTACCAGGGCTGATGCACAGGAATGAAGGGACTCAGCACGCCTTCTGGAGCCTGAGCTGATTCGGCAGCTTAAGAAGTGAGGAGAAAAAGAAAAAAAAAAGATATTGTACTTGTAAAGTGTACTCATTTGATATGGAAATCCTAGAGATGATAAAATTCCACCTTGCTATTTTTACAGCCATTTTAACAGTAAAATTATTTTTTTCAAAAGTTCACACTTGAGAGCACACAGTACATTTTCATATTGGTGCCTGTGAAGAGTATGTTCAGATCCTATTACGTATTAACAGGATTGATCTAAGTGTTTTGAACATTTTCACTACAGTTGCTAGTTTACATCTTGAGATGAAACAAGGAAAAATGTCAAAGACATTTAGTATATTACTACTACAGGGGTACGATAAAACTGAAAAGAAAATCTGGATTGTTGCTCTCAGAACTTTCTTCTCTGAAGGTAGAAGCAATCTTTTATTTGCTTTCCTTCATAATTTACGAACTCTCAGTGTACCTACTAAGATACAAATGGGCAATAAAAGAAATATAAATATTAGAGGTTAGATTATAAATCGAGGCTGCAAATTGGCATGTAATTATAGGGTGTGAGAAATCTAGGAAAGGATCTCAGAAAATGAGATCCTTCCTAAAGGATATTTAGGATCTTAATGTTACTTAGAGTCCTACTGCCCAATTATATCACTGTGGGAATGCTTAATGGAGTAAAAATGGGTGCAAGTAACCACTGAAAGATGGTAGGTTGCCATTCTGCAGTGTAAACTCTATTTTCTTCTTGGGGAACATGTCACATGCATGTGGTGAGAGTGGGCACAGGGTGTTCAGAAAGAGCTGTGCATTTGCTCCTGATCTGATAAACCTGACTACTTTGCCAACGTTAGCATCAGGACGTATATGTTCCTAGTGCTGTTCATTTGCTTGTTTTTCTTCAAACTTAAGATTTGGTTACTTGTTTGTTTGGAAAGATGCAAAATCACATTATCTAAACTGAAAAGAGAAAAAAACAGGACAAAATGCTTCACAGTTGAAAAATACTATGAAGTTGTATGGATGGCTGTCCAGGCATTGTCTCACTCTATTTCTTCTTTTAGTGGAGCACACCAATGATTGAAAAAGCCTGTTCCTTGGTGTTTGAATGGCCTTTATTGCACGCTGGGTATGTGGGAATTTTCTGAAGAGCCGAAACAATACATGTGGGAGTCCCAACAGTACTTCAGACTTGCCTTTTCAAGCCCAGAGTATGCAACATCATACACAAGCAAGCAAATAACATCTATGTGATGTATGGTAAAATGGAACAGGGACAAAAAGTTGACCAACTTTGGCACTCCTTCTACACGCCTGCATTGCAGATGTTAGCTCTGTCCATGCTATTATGAGATAACCTAGAGAGTGAACAGGAAGCACAACTTTTTTTCCCCAAACCAAGCAGAGCCATTTATTAGCAGGAGTGAGGTGCCCATAGTCTTGCTTGGCTCTGAAGAACACACACCTGCATTAGCTTCTCAGTGAACTGCATCCTATAAGCAGCATGCCTCTGGGTGATTTTTCATACGCACTTCCCTGCGTAGTCAAGCTCTACATGTAGCAACAGAGCAGACTCAACCCCCCATTGCACAACCATAGGGAGAGCCAAATAGCAGCTGTGAAAGAAATGTCTTTGTGTGCTATTACTGTTTTTTCTTTTTCTTTCTGGAAAGAAGTTGCTGTGTTTGCTCCACATATTGATAGCTTAATTTAGTTTTTAAAAATTCTTGGCAGCTTTGTTTCATTGTCTACTATTCATAACACTCCTGATCCTCCCCCCTCTCCCAGCTGCCTCCTGACAAACTAATTAAAATACTATAGACATTTCTTTGAGCTTAGTAACCTGAAAATTGCAGCTCTGAGTAAGTGTTTTCAGCTGAAATTGAGGTTAACCTCTGGCAGCACCTTCTCGCTCTGGTTAAAAGGCTTTGAAATACAGTTTTACCGACAAAAGAATCCACAGAGGAAAACTTTTTAGATGAGGAAAACCAAAAAGTGACAACTTACCGTTTCATAGGTCCTGATTGGGTTCAAGTAGCTTTCATGTGAGTTCTTGCCAAGGCCAGAAAGTTTATTCCGTAATTCCCCTGCTTCTTTTGATTGGCTCCTATGATACCGCTCTATGTTGATCAAGTGGGCAACAATATGGATGGCTGCATGAGAGAAAGAATGGTGCAAAACTGAAGATGCACTTGTATGTGTCCGCAATGCCAGAAGGAATATCATTGAGCACACTATGACCTATTCCAAAAGAGTTAAATTAAGAGTAACTTAATTGAGAGTTTCACATAGTCAACTAGCAACAACAGGAAAATTTTATTGGTGTCTATTACGTAGCAACTGCTTAGAATCGCAGAGAGGAAGAACAGCTCTGGTGTGATCTCCCATGCTTACTGTCAAGTGTCCTGCAATCTTCAGTGTCACAGAAGGAGGACCTCTTGAGAGATGAGATAAAAGCCTTTGCCCCTGATTTATGTAGCTCAAAATAAGGCAGCTAATTACAATTTTAGTTTTTGTTAAAAATTAAGATGTGTCCTGATCTAATGTTGCTACACTGGACTCTGACATTGTCTATTTTAGGCACTGACCAGCTTGCACCTTAAACCAGAGGACATTTAAGAGATGTATCCAAAATCTTTCCAAATGAACAGGTTGATATTATAATATCACTTCATGCCAGTTGAGCTGGTGAGCTTCATATGAAATGAGGAAGGCCCTATTATGAGCCATGACAACCTTTACTTCACTGAGGGAAAGCCAGAGGAACTATGATTTTAAGGAAGAGATCTGAATCACTAACACTCTGATATTAGTTCTGGTTTGCCCTGAGGGCCATACCCCATCTCTTGTTCTGATTTGTTCCTAAAAGGTATATAAGATGGTTAGTTTAGAAAGATGCTTAAGAGTGAAGTAAGAATGCCCCTCTAATCTTTTTCCTGAATGGAAGGATTGTAATTTCAAAAGAGAGAAAGGAAAGACTTTGCTTCCTTATTGACTAACATAGATAAAGTCATAATCACACTAGATGCAGAGTTTCCCAATTTTAACTACAGGACATTCTCAAATTCATTACAGGACAGTTGTCATTAATGCAAAATATTAAATGCTCCAGGATGAAAAATAACATTGAAAACAATTATATGTTTACAGTACAGCTATTAGGAGACGCTATTTCTAGTTTTCATAATTAGCTTCCCATCATCATCTCTCTTTCAGTGTTTATCTGTTCCTGTGCCTGACCATTAAAAAAAACCTTTCTAAAGTGCAGTAATTGAGGTAAAACAAATACGATCTCTTTTCTTAAACAGTAGTGTCCTCTCAGAAGATTTTTTTTCTTTTCCTTTTCCTTTTCCTTTTTCTTTTTCTTTTTCTTTTTCTTTTTCTTTTTCTTTTTCTTTTTCTTTTTCTTTTTCTTTTTCTTTTTCTTTTTCTTTTTTTTCCTTTTCTCTTTCTTTTTCTTTTTCTTTTTCCTTTTCTTTTTCTTTTTCTTTTTCTCTTTCTCCTTCTCTTTCTCTTTCTTTTTTTTTTTAATTCTAATTGTCTATTTGCACAAAAATGATGCCGTATTGAACAAGTCATCGTATAATCATAAATGAAAACACAGGGTTAAATGCATAAGGACTTTGGTATTCAAAAGTCTTTTGGATGCCTATCCACTTAGTGAGCTCCACTGCCCTGTGCGACAGGCGAGCTCCTGTACAATGCCTGGGGAGAGCTCTGGGCAGGAGAATGTGATTTAAAGCCAGACTCTGACCGTGGAAGTGCTCAAAGCAGCCAGTGCAAGAAGGTGGAAGATTACGTTCTGCCCCTCAAGAGCAGCTTAGCCTGTCTATCCAGGCTGGTGAGGGGTTATTTTCACACTGTTCTCCTGACGTGATGCTTGTAGAGCTGGACAAGGCAATGCGGCAGGCATGCACTGTGAATGGCCCTCAGGTTGCACCTCATCCACAAGATGATAGTGTTAGCTTAGCCCCCTCCCACCCTGCACCATTGCTTTACACCTGCTTTACCTCATTGCCCCATACTTAGGTACTCGCTGGGAGATGAGAAACCTATTTTAAAATCCTCTTTTCATACATAATTTAAAGTAGGGACTTAAATCAAGGCTCAAGCCCTAGTCACCAGGCTGACTGGTTATTCCCTTCTGAGCTGACTCCTAATGTAACCTTTAATAAAAAAAAATCAAACATTTGTCAGCACAGGGATCCCAAATGAATATCCCAAGTCCTGAGCACCCACGCTGCAAAATCAAGTTCCCATTTTTTCTGAATCTTTAGTAAATGGGTATGAGCTGCACAGAGATAAAATGAGCCTGGAAATTAGAGGACGGATTCAAGCCATCAGAGGAATGAGATTCTAAAATAACCTTTCAATAAATAGGATAATGGGATCAAGCAATCTAAGTGACTTTAGGCTGAAGGTTGGGCAGCTTTATGAAATAGCATATACGATGTGACTGTCAGCGTTAGAGGATATCGAACTCAGTGACCCAGCATGTCCTATGTATGTTTTTATGGATTAGGTTTTGTATGTGAAACAATCTGGCTGTCACCAAACTCAAGCACCTCCCTGGAGCTTGCTTATGAGACAGGACTCCCAGTGACTTGGCAACGCCAGGACGTTGGAAGTGTTGCACAAGACCACAAGCGGAGAGCGAAACATGCAGATTCAGACTGTCAAAACCGAAATGCCTGAGAGGCTCTGAGCTGTAGGGTTAGGTGGCAGCTGTGCGGGGGCTGTGGCAATCTGTTCCTCAGAGTACAACTGATGGATAAGCAGTATATAAACACTGTTTATGTATTTAAGTGTAACAGCACTTTTAAGTGCTGAGTGGGAAGGGGGGAGCTGTTCCTACATGAGCTGCTTTCAGAACAGATGTTTTGGCCTGGCAAGGGTGTTATCAGATCCAGCTGGATGGGAACCAAATCACTATGTGATGAGGACCTGATTTCTCTGACATCTGAAAGAGCTCACTCCGAGGCCAGGGGTGAAGGGTGGCGGTGGTGGGTTCTGGGGCTGAACACTGCATGCAGTCCGGCACCTGACCACAGCAAAGAGGAGAGAAAAGCTTCCAAGGCTGGAAGGCCTAACAATGAATCTTGGAATGGACTTATGCTGAGCAGTTTTATCCTGCCATCTGGTACTGATTAGTGGCAAAATCAATAGTGGCACTTGGGCCCCTTGTCTTCTATACACGCATGACGTTCTTTATAACTCTCACTTGATGCAAATAGTCACCATAGCCTTGGACTAGATGAATTTCACACAGTTGTGATCCAAATCATTGTTTTGCTAAAGGTTCCCTGCAATGTATAAACTGCAGATTTTGGATTATTTCTGGTCACTTAAAACAGAAACATTGTCTAGAGATGGAAGTTTGAATCTGTTTTCATAACAGAACACACATTGTCTCTTTTCATCATTGAAATATACAGTTTTTAGAAAATAAATACTGCATATTGTGAAGTTCTAATGCAAAAATTACGAGATTTCTGTTGTTTTGAAGGCTATGAAGTCTTGCACTTTCCTCAAAGTGCAAGGTTGTCTGTGATAAATACAAAATCCAGCCAGGTCAGCAGTGACAGGAAACCTAGCGCTAGCAGGTATATGCTGAGTGTTAAGAATGAGATGAGTTGGTAGCTCCTTCCAGACTGACAGAAATCCGTCAACGCTGAGAGTGTATTTGCAATCTTGAATAGAAAAAACTGTGAATTGAATAGATATATCTTTCCAAGAAGTTCTTTAGCCTAAAATTTTGTTGGAGGTAATCGTATTGCAACTTTTTTCTAAAAGAATAGATCAGATTTCTGCAACTTAACTTAGTAAATTTTTTCTGTAGGCTTTTAAAAGACGCTGCTTTGTTCAAATGCTTTTTATTCTGCTTTATTGTAAGTGTTACTGTCAATGGAAACATCATCACACCCTCTTCTTTGGGGTTTACCTCTTTTTCCTTCCTGGGTGACATTCATTCCAGTTTCAACTAGCTAGGTAGAGGATATTACAAGTGTAGAAGTCTGCCAGAATGACTAAGATAGACCTTTTCTGCAAGCTACTCTGTGATAGCTGTTAACATACAGAGTATAGTGATACACAGAAAAATATTAACATTCAAACTAATGCACTGACTATGTTGGTTTACCTGGATCTCCCAGGATCTTAAATATTGCCCTGAGTGTTACTAGATTAATACTTTTGATGGGTTTCTTGTGTGCCACTAGGAAAAAATGATGCAATCTAAAAGTGAATTATAGCTGGATGGTAGGAGTAATGCAAAGATCTAATTCCATTTTCAGTGTGGTTCATTTAATGTACAACAGTTGCAGCAGGCTACAAAGTCTGGCACTGGATACATTCCCATTAGCTAAAATATTTTACATGCCTGAAGTGCATTTTCTGTAGGTCATTTGCATCTGCAGTATACAGAATTTACTAAATATTTCCAAAACTAACATGCAAATTTCTGAAATTTGAGCTTACTACATTTTTTATATATAGATACATACACATATATACACGCACCCATCCACCCACCCACCCACCACTAAGATAAGTTAACCATGAATGTAAAGCTTAAGGTACTACATCTCAATGTTTTCTATTCAATGTTTTCCTCATTCTGCATGACTAAATATAAATTGTAGGATAAATGACGCAATCGTGAAAGCAAAGTTCTTTTTCATATCAGTCCATGAAGACTGAAGGATTTGGGCTGTTGTTTTTGACAACAACTGGAACCTTTAAAGCACTTAACATGTATTAATTTGTATTTGACCCTGAGATGTTCTATCCAGTCCACCTCTGAGATCAAATAAAAGGTTTTATTGGAAAGAGGGAAGGAGAAAGAGGGTTGCTATTAGAGCATGGTGTTTACTGTACATGTTCTTAAATACAAAGAGATGTAATTGAATTGTCTTGAAAGTCTGCTCAATTTAGCTAGTCTTATTCAGCCAATTGTGCCTTCAGTGAAGCATGCACAACTCTCATTGTACTAAACAGAAATTGCACGTGTTTATCTGAGGGCAAGATTTCTCTCTCTCTTTTCTGCATGCCTGTACAGGATAATAATCAAATTGGAGTTTGCTTCCAGCAGTTAAACGTTTTGGTTAACCAACCCATCATGAGAAAATCAAAGGGACAAATCTTGGCCTTTCTGCCCACAGTGAAGAGAGCAGCTTTGCAGGAATCTAACTAAAGCGCTGGGAATTCTGCACTAACCCAGCTTGAATTCTGCTGCCACCCACTGCCTTATCACACTTCTAGTTACGTGGAACCCTTCATTCAGCTTCACGTTGTCTTTGTGAACTGAAAAAGCACAAATGATGTTAAAATGAGGGCAATAATCACCATACACAACTTACATTAGTTTTTTAAAAATGATTATCAACTTCAATCAAGAACTTGCCTTGGGTGATTTTTTATTCTAACTGGAGGCTTCTAATCTAATTTAATATAATTTTCTTCCTAGTACTTACACTAAGTCCAGTGTTAAACAATCTGAATAAAAAAATGCAGTTTAATGGAAATGAGATAGAAAATTTTCTGCAAATTCTGAAAGTACAAAGCTCAGATTTCAACTAAACTTCTTCTTAAGAAAAGCATCTAATTTCCTGTAAGCTTCCTAGTTTGCACAAAAATGCTACTCAAATCACCAGATTCCTTCACATAGCTACTTCTGCATCCCCATCATTAACAAAATGTGGTTGTAAATAGAAGGATTTTCTAGTTTTTTAGCTATAGAATTTTCAGTGCTTGGCAGAAGCCAAGCATATCTGGCATCACTACACTTCTGCCTTTGTTTTGCATGTTTTTAAAGAAATATGCACCACTGGACATTTTAAGGAGAGGGAAACACCATTTCAAACAGTCTAACTCCAAAAGTTTTCTCTTTCCATTCCCTACTTTCCCTTAACTGGGGAAATTAAGGGAAATTAAGGGACATTGAGGAAATCCCTTAAGCTTTATTCATATCATTATTTCAAAGGCTGTTGGAGCTACATGTCTGTATAACCTTTCTGCAAACATGAAAACAACAGCAAGAAGCAGTTAGTTCTTCAAGACGTGCCAAAGTCAAAACAAAAGAATCCCCTCAAACACTCCTCACTCCTCACTTTAGAAAATGTATGGATTTGCTTTCGCATGATGGTAAAAACAACACAGTAACAGAGATGTGTTGTGTGAAACATTATTTACTCATCTCTCATAGATATGTTTAGGCTCAATGTATTGCCTTTCAACTGAAAAGTCCCTTTTGAACTAGGAAGTCTAGAATGATTTGCATTGATCAAACCGAGAGTGTGTGAAACTATGATTTTATTCTAGCAGAGTTACAGGTCAATAAGGAAGATTTATTAGTGGGTGAGTAACTCCCAGACAGCCCTTATCATAGACGGGCATGCAGAAAGCAGGAAGCCAAACTAGGCAGAATTCCCTTTACTGAATTTTCAATGATGTACTTGATTATAGATAGTATTGTTTACTCTCTCTTTCCTCCGACTTCCCTTCTTCCACTAGTCTCTAATTATATCCCTTTATGACCTGACCAATTAAAGCCTACATTTGAATTTGTATTAGAGCTGATGAAAAATTAAAGCTACAGATGTACTTTTTCCAAGGCCACACACAGCTCAGCTGAGCTAGTTGCTAGAAGCCAGACAATACGAATGTCACACTATTTTTAGCATGCTATTAAATAAATACACTGGAATAACACCACCCAGTAAGCTGAGAAGAAAACATGTTACTTTAATAATAAAGGAGTCTACAATTTTATATTGCAAGGATAAGCTTAGTGATCTGGTCTGCAAATTGGTTTAACTTCTTGCTGCCACATTTAGGCTACTGATCACATAAGGAGAGAGCATTCACTTAACTAAGAATTACTAAATTGCAATAGTCTAACGCGAATTGACTATGCTCTTGTGTAACCAAAAGCAATACAGGTAGCACTTGTATAAATAATGTGTCAGTTGAGTGGAAAATGCCATCTCTCTATTTACGCATCACTTTAACATTGTTAAATTTTATAATAAAGAACTCTAGGTTTGTGGGTATCTCCTTATTGTGAGAAGATGGAACTGTGGTTTTCTCACACAATGTGTGATGAAGATTGAATGCTTTTTATGCATTTTAAATTTAATTTCAGACAACTGAGTTTCTGGCCCTTCTTTACCCCAGGCTGACTATAAAATGATGTGGTGTTCTTCCAAACAAGATATTTGTTTCTCACTTATCTGTTAGGAAAGCATGAGTTCGTAAGTTGTCATGTTTTGTTCATCAGACTTCCCTGTATTTTGTTCTCTTCATCAATAATCTCATCAGCTATTTGTCCATTTTATATTGTAAAAAATACCCAAACCTTCATTTTTTCCCTCGAGACTGACAGAGTTAAATAATAGTGCTTTCTGTCAGTTGACATCAGCTCCTGTGTCTGCCTTTGGAATTGCTGAAGCCATAAAATAATCACTTTTCTGATAAACTTGCACTTCCCAAACTGTGCACCTTAATGCATTGGCAAGCATTTTATTTGAATGTAAAACCTCAAAACATGAAAGGTTTGACTGTGCAGTTTTACTTTCTTTTTGGAGCATGACGAATTATGCACCAAGTAGAAGTTGGTTAATTTACATTCCTGGGTTGATTTGTTAATTAAAGAAGCAATGTTGCATTCTGTAGGAATCTGCTTTATGCTGAAACTGAACTCTGATAAACAAATGGACATGACAGATAAGCAAATCATTGTAATATGTTATAAGATGCACATTCTCATCCCCCCGCCTTCCCCTCCTAAAACTTTACCATAATATACAAGGGACAAATTTTAGCTGCAGGAACCCGATGGCCTTCCTGACTCTACTCTTCTAACTATGAGGGACACTAGCATCATACACGTGCAAAGGAAAGCCAATGCCTTGTATACAGAGAACAGAATATTGGAATCAAGGTCCATCCTGACAGCCCAGGGGTAGAATGTTTACGTTACAATGTATTATGCTTGTAAATAACCCCAATAAACTCCTTTATCTCCTTTTCCTTTTAAAAAGTTGGCTAACTCCCTTTGAGATCACAGAGAGACTATAGAATATGAGACTAAGCGTCGGAAGATGTCCAAGATAAAATAGATGCTTTCAGAAGTATGGGCTGGGACCACAGTCTAATGTCAAATTGTCCTAAGAGCAGTGGACTTCATAAGACCTGATTTCCAAAGAGAACAATGTCCCCTGTCCCCGATACCGCTCCATCTTTATGTGCTTTTGACCTCCTTTTAGCCTTCGTTCTTCCTTCTCTGCACATCCCCCCTTCCCCACAATAGCTCCTCTTCCCCTCATGTCCTTTAAATTCCTCCTAGCTCCAGTCCTCTCCAGGTCCTTTAACCACTTGGGGAACAGGAGGGTGCTGTGTCTTGTTCCCAGCCTGGCCAGCAAACACCTATAGCTCAATAAGTCCTCAGGACAAACCCAGGGATTTAGGATAAGTTATTTATACTAGATGTTAAGAGGGCACAAGCTGGCCAAGTTAACAAAAGAGCAGCTAGTGTTACTACCCAAGCAAAAAGTTCATCTGCTGTTGAAAAGAAGATCACAAATGATTAGTCGGATGGGACCTCTACACCTATTTAAAGTTACAGTCAGCAAATGGTCACACTAAAGTAGCACTTGTGTCAGAGCTGGTGGGGATTACAGTATTAGGCGGAATCACTGTGAAATTCAAAACAGTTCAAAGGCAAAGAAGAAAAAAACTGAAAGCTTACTTGCATTTACAGCTATTCCATAGGCAACCATCTTGTGAAATACGATGTTTTTGTCAAACTGCCTCCTCAGTGCTCCTCCACAGCACTTAGTGAAAAAGCAAAATTTGTTTTATATCATTCCTATGACTATTTACAACTCACACTTTGGATAAGAAAGGAGAGGAGTTCAGTACATTTAAAAATGAGCAGTTGAAAGCATTCAGTGGAAATTTTGGTTTAGCCTTAACTTTGGGACCCAAGTAACTATTTTCGGCATAAAGATGCTCCAGTATTTCTTAAAGCTATTCAGCCTGCATGGGGGTTCAAAAACAGACTTGATAAAGCTCTGCTACATTTAGCTGTAATTTGTGAGTGGTTTATTTGGGTGGGGGATTAGCTCATTTGCTGATGTACCCTCATCAGAGCTGGCTACATACAAAACCAGGCTGGGCCACCAGTGCATGCAGGCTCAGATTCAGTTGCACCAGCACAGCTAAACTGCTGGCAAAGACAGCTCTCAGTGAAAACATTTCAGCTGCTTTCACAAAATGCAAACCCCAAGAGAGTAAGCCTGTCTAGACCTCAGGTGGTTGCACACTTATGTGTTACTGAACCGTCTTCCCCGTGTTGGAAAGCTCGACGGCGGTTTGCTGGCGGACAGCTGTGTGGCTCCACACTGAGCCAGCCCAGGGCCGTAGTGAACTGCAGCGAGCCAAAACTAACACACGTTGCTGGCACCAAGACATCTCTTGCTGAGCTGCGTCAGTCCCTGAACTGCATCCCGGGTATCTGAGTTGCTCGTTTGGTCTGGCACAGTGCCATGCCAAAGATCCCTGTGTTTATCCACACTGCTCCCTAGCTAATAAATCTTCCCAGCATCCAAGCACAGGTGGGTGCAGTGCTGAGACTTCATGCCTCCCTGGGGCACTGCAGATCCAGCTCTGCCCTGGCCATGTTGCAGCCACTGAAGTTCCTCTGTACCATGCTCTTCAAGATGACAATATTACATAGAAAGACAAAATATTGATTATCTTCAAGAAAACATCCAGTTCTCAAAGTTCTTACACAGTACATAACTGGCCATGCAAATATTTATTGTTTCAGAATTGATTCAGAAGTCCAGCAAGATTGCTTTTCTTAAACTCTCACCCCTGAATGCAGGTTGTTATATAACGGTGTTGATTCCTGAGGACTGTTTGACATGTGACAGTACTCTAAGTCTAAAGAGAGAAAAGCAAAACTGAAAATAATAACCTAGCTACAATAAAGGAAATTTATATTATGATTTTGAAATTCCTGTTGTTTTTTGAGTTATGAAGTGACTATTTTTTCCCAAACATGTGGGACTGCAATTGCTCTAACTGTAATAATTGCCAGTAAGCTGAGCCTTAGCTAAGTAGAGTTAAAGCCTTAAGCACTTCCTATATGTGATGCTGAGGTTAATGCAAATGCCTTTGAACAGATGACCACTCAATTACAAAAATACATGTTTACAAGAAGGGAATATCTGAAAGGTGGCCTGGCCACTCGGAAACAAGTGTTTAAACATGTTCTTTTTCATCCTTATGGCACTTTTATCTGTATGTTTCCTCACTTTGGTTTTCACTTTGAAACTACACAGAATACTCATGATGGATATATATTTTCTCCATTTTTCACGTTGCATTCTTATGTTCCCTTTTTGTAGCACCTCACTTTTCACTTCATGACACCATGCTATGCAGTGGCTGCCAAAATCAATGTTGCGTTTAGAGTACTGTGTTAAACAAGCCATTTGTTTCTCTTCAGTCATGAATATCTGACAATTTAAACAGTAGTAACTAGGCAATAGCATACAGACTTCTCTATCAAAAATTAAAATTCCTTTGAAAATGTTTGACATGGACAATATTGCTAAACTATAGAAATAAAAAGAGAAGGATAATATGGCTATTTGAGAAGTGGTACTTACAGTGCTTGCTCCTCGTAAGAATGAAATAAGGTTTCTACTGACTGGTAACAGGATTAGCATGCAGTTAAAATTAAGGCATGTTGCAGAAGCTCTCGCCCAAGCCAGTGTTGACTGTACATGTAACAGTATAAAGAAATTAGATTACAAGTTTGGTATAGCAAGAACAAAAGAAATGAAATGCTATATTAACATAAGACTCTTACATGGGAAAATTACTGTTGAAGCATCAGGAAAGTTATTTTCATGAAAGATATGAATAAAATCACACTATGCTTACATTCTTCCTGTGGAGCCCTATAACAGTCAAACTCGTACTTACTCCCAGCATAATCCGTGTATAAAGGTAAGCATCTTCATCTTCATACCAGCGGAAGGTATCAATAAACAAATATAAATTCAATCCCAGCCACATCACCTACAGAACAGACAGGCCACAAATTGATGGCACTTACAGTATTTTTACTGCATATAAAACTGGTTAAGGTTATAGTTTTAAAAGAATCTGAGAGATACTTGAAAATTAGTGTGCAATGCAGCTCTTGATCACAGATGACAGAAATCACAAATGCCTGCTGGAATGCAGCTACCTTTTAGAAAATGCAGGGTTATATTCCCATATCCCAATAGAGAATGTAGATGATATTTACTGTGTAATGGCAGACTTGATCTTAGACACAGGACTTAGCTTGGACTGTAAAAAGCCAATAGAATCTAAAATTAAAGAATTTCAGTTAGGAGCTGAGGAGTTGGGGAGCTCTGCCCCCCACCCCAATTCACCAAAGCCTCTGAAAATAATTCAGAATACAATTTGAAATACAATTCCAACCCCCTGTTCCCTTTATCTGAGGACTAAAGTACATGGGCTTAAAAATAATTAAAAATAAAACAGTAAGACTTTAAATTGTTTTTAAGACTAGTTATAAAAAGGCTGCTGAATATTTTATAGCAAGTTTTACATTTAGCTTGGGAGTATTACTGTAAGCAAACCATAAAATGTCTTTTAAGCAAGCTTAAAATATTTATATATGTCCAATTAGTTTTTTTTTTAATGCTAAAAATACTCACTAATAACAGGGCTGACAGTTTTTCATTCAAAATCCAGCATCCCATCTCGAGTGCCTCTCCCTAGGCTAGCAGCAGCTCACTCTTGCTTTCCAGTGTAACCTGAGGTCTCTGACCATTCCTCAGGCTTTTCTACTATCTATCTCTTTTGTCTTTATATCTTAATAAGCACCTAGTGGGAGCTCTCTCTAGGAATTTTCTAATTAAGGACTCTGTGACAAGAACAGATCACCTAATTGACATGTCTTATGATCTAGACAAATAAAATGCTGGTCGTTGTCCAGTGCTTCCTCTTTCCAAAGTTATCTCTCGGCAAATGAGAGATGAATTCATTAAATTGTCCTCTTGTACTAGCATTTGTTTGGGTTTTTTTTTTTTTGCTTCCACTTTGCAGTTTGAACAGAGTGTAACCATTCTTCACGATTTTACTTTCAATATAATAGCAAATGGGAGCATCCTTTATGTGCATATAAGACAGGAGCATTGTTAGAAGAATTCGGGAGTGGTAAAATCGCCCCATCAGAAGTCAGGAATCACCAGAATAAGGGCTGTGGATGTTAATATTCATCTGGATTTCTCATGATTGTGGATTATGGCCACCTTAAAATGCTGGATAATTTTCCATAATTCACTGCAGTCATAAAATAAGCAGTCATTTTCTCTTTTTCATGTCCACACCATTCGATGTAAAGCTACTCATCCTACTGTCTCCTCTGCCTAGCTGGAAGAGAGAGGTAGCAACTGATTTCCTCACGGGCTTCTTTTTCAAGAAGGCACAAATATCAGCTGCTTTCACCTCAGAACTGGGAGGGGAGGGTGCCTGTTTCACAGGCAAGGAACAGAGGCACAGAGAGATTTTGGAAAAGACAAGTCCATTAATGGTGAGCGTGTATCCAGCAGCACTTGGGGGTGCTCAGGACTCTCTGACCCCCAGTGTGTTCCTGATACAGCTCCCACCCTTCATCTGCAACAGGGGCACTGCGTCAGCAGTGCTTACGGTACTCAAGAAATATAAGCCTCTTGCAAATACAATCTATGAACACTGTCCAGGGCCAGAGCTTACCCAATTTGAGGGGATTTTTTGTTTTTAATTTATAAAAACAGATGTGCCTGTTCCTCAAAGTTTGTCCTGAGGACTGTTCAGCCTATTTCCTTCTTCGGAGGTTTATTCCAGCAAGGATTTAATGAACCACCTGCAAAAATGAGTCAGCAGCATTCAGTACCTCTCAGCAATATCAAAACCTTTTGACAGGTCAGTTTATCAGAGAATGCTGTTAGTCTATTCAAGACTTTCCTTAATAGGTAGGTATTTGAACAGCCAGCACCGTGGTGATATTCAATGCAAAGAACACATATTCTGATTTTCTTTTACTAAGAGAGAAGAATAATTTATTGACTTTTCCACACTCTCTAAAGGGAAATCCCTTCTCCTTTACCTCGCTTAAGCTGTGGAACTGGTAGCAATTGATCTTCCTGGGGGAAGGAGGCTGAAAGCTCTCACCAAGGCTTCTTAGAAGCACTGTTAGCAGCCATTGCAGGAAGGTCTGCTGGCTGACCAAGTCTTAGCTCCTCTTTTGCCTTGTCCTGATGAGCACTCTTGATTTATCCCTAGCTGTCCTCTGCGAGGAGCTGTGCAAACTCTGCCTGTGGTGATCTCATTCCTTCCCTAGTAAAACCATTTCCTAAAGGCCTTCCTCAACTTGACCCTGAAGGAGTCATTTCTCTGAAAAAACAGCAAACATCTTTCTTAAAAATGAAGTGCTAGAAACAACGTCTTCAAATATGAGTCTAATAAATTTTTACATTTCTAAAATACAAAGAGCCATGGCAAATAATACTGAGATTTGAAATGATTGTTAAGCTCAGATACTTTTTAAGCAAGGACCAATGGCCATTAACATGCATTACCAGAACCACAGAGATGAGGCCATGAATGTTCTGAATGCATGCATTTACGAGAGATTTATTTTGAGCTTTGTTTTTCTTAGACAGTAAGATTAAACATTTTTTATTAACAAACTCAATAAAAAGCCTAGTGCCGTAATCGGCCACTGTGCATTATGTGACTTAATACAGGCTATTACCACAACCACTTTCTTTATAGTAGCTCTTGATAATGCAGGAGCTAGCAAGACAGTGACTATTGCCGTATTTTTCAGAGAGGTCAAAAGAAGAGGAAATAAGGGAGAAGGGAAGAGGAATGTGCAAAGGGTGAGGAGAAATACTGGTAAGGTCAGATGCCAATTTTAACTATGTTAAAGAAAGGTGTAGGGGGGGACGACCCAGTGTCTGGATTAGCTGCACTTCAAAGGGAAATGCTGCACTGAGATGTTCTGCTTTGAAGTTCAGCAATCCAGACAGCAATTTTCTAAAATGAGTCAAAACTGGCATCTGAAATAGATTTTTTTTTTCAGAGTACAGCAGATTCATATGCTGGTTTAGGCTCCAAAATTTGTCTGGATCAGCAGCTGTACTTCAAAGCAGCACATCTCAGTACAGCATTTGGCTTTGAAGTGCATGTGGTCCAGATGCCAGTGCTCTTAAAGGAGCCGATGAATCAAATGCACTTTATTTTTTGTCTGTTGAAACAGCTATGTTTTTTCTGATGTATAATGATAATGTGTGTGGTCTTCAATACGGTATCTATCAATAAAAACATAAAGCTAGCACAAAAGCTCTTTATAGCTTCATTTTCTACAAAGGGACTAATCATCATCACTTTAGTTTACTGATTTGCAGTGATCTTAGTCAATTTCTAGCACAAACTATTCAGACAACACACAGGGAAGGATTTTTTATTGATTAAAGAACTAATGATATTTCATTTTGTTATTGTTTTATCATTATTGTGACATACAACTGTCCTAAAAAGGATGTGGAATAAGGATGAAAAGGGATTTGTTCTGGCAGCTCAGGAAAAAGCAGTGCTGAGCATGCTGAGTTCCCCTGCAAGAGACAGACAACTCTGTCATTACCTTAAAAGGTCACTTCTAGCATGGAAAGAGGTTTATGAGGTGCTGAATTCTTCCATGTAAGTATCTCTGCGTTAATATCAATGTTTATATCAATTACTGCCACAGATCCCTATTGCAGGTAGTTTTATTTGATGGCAATCTCTGTCTGAGGTGTGTCTCATGTTTTAAAGTACTTTCTGCAGTGCTTACTCTTTGCAAGACAAATTAATTATTAACATTAGACTGCATATGCATACATATATACATATGTACGTATATACATATCTAACTTTTGCCAGTCCATCCCAGTGCTAATATTAGATATTCATGCTTTGTTTCTCAAAGACAAAATCATTTCAGTTGACTCTGAACTCTGCACAAGTCCTCTTACTGTTTTTTATGTGTGTGTTTGACTTTATGCCCATTAGTAACCTGGATGAATTCAGTGTGCCTCTTTGCTACACATACAGATGGGTACAGGTAAAAAGTGATCCAGAGGATCAGGGTGCTTTAATTTTGCTGATCATCTGACAGCCATTTACTTGCTGGTTGTATCAGAGTGTACACTTTCTACTAGACTATATAAAATGGTGGAGCTGCTATATTTTGCCATTTTTGTATTATATCCCTATAAAATTTAAGTAGTGAGTGGGAGATTTGTCTCTGTGGATGGATGAAGAAGTTGCACAAAGTATTTGATAAACTATTTCAACTTTCATGGAGAGAGAAGCTGCTGAA